TGTCCGTGGAATGTTCCAGGCAGAAATACTGGAATGGATTGTCATTTCCTCCTCCAAAGGGAATCTTCCTCACCCAGGGGTCCAGCCTATCTCCTGCACTGGCTGGAGGATTCTTTACCTGCTGAGCCACTTGGGAAGCCCAGCAGAGATGACTGACTTACACTAAATTTTAATCCCTGGCTCTTTCACAGAAAGAGAGCCAAAGCTGGAAAAGTGACATCAAAGCTAGAGATCACATTTCCCAGCCTTCTGGCAACTTGGGTGGCTATCTGACTCCAATCTCTGTAAGGAAATGAGAGTAAAAATTCCATATACGACTTCTGGGTCAGTTCCAAATTAAAAGTCTAGTTGCTGGCCCTGGACCGCCGCTCTCTTTCCTCTGGGCTGGAAAGCAGATTTTGGACTTGGCATGGTGCTGATCACAAAGGTGAAGGCAGTGCCTGAACAAGAACAAGACAGAGGAAGATTCCATGAGGCAGAGGTGACCTGCTGGTTGGATTGTTTTCTGAAAAATAAAATTCTATTGTACTCAAGCCATTGTATTGGGGGGTTTTCTTTGTTATAGCAACTTAGCCTCTATCTTAGCTAAGACAAATTCTTACCCAGCAATTCCTTTGATAGGAATATGTTCTGAAGGAATAAGTGTACATTGAAAACAGAACACTGTTGTGAAATTTTACTTTTCTGAGCCCAAAAAAGAGAATATAATATTTTACTAAATTAAAAACAAAATTTGCAGTTCTGAAGATGGCCTATTCTAATAAACACAAGAAAAACTGAGAACATTGCTGTTTTGAATTCTCAAGGGGATTTCAAAGAACAAGACTTTATCACATTCCTGATAAGTTATCTTAAGTTGTAAGTTAAGACATAAGTTATCTCTTTTTAGCTGCAGGTACCCTGTTAAATTTCCCAGTTTTAACCAATAATGGACACTGACAAACCAGCAGGAGGAAATCTTCCTGGTATTGTGCAATATGAGAAATAAAAAGAATGAGAACATTTAGCTTTAAGAAGTTATGTAGAACTTGATTGTTATTTAGTCACTAAGTCATATCTGACTCTTCTGCAACCCTATTGATTAGCCCACCAGGCTATTCGGTCCACGGGATTTCCCAGGCAAGAATGCTGGAGTGAGTTGCCATTTCCTTCTCCAGGGGATCTTCCCAACCCAGGGATCAAATCTTTGTCCCCTACATTTGCAGGCAATTTCTTTACCACCAAGTCACCAGGGAAGCCCCATGCATAACTTGATAGATTTATCTAAATATATCAGAACTACCTAGTATGATGTGGCTTCCCTCATAGCTCAATCAACAAAGAATCTTCCTGCAATGCAGGAGACCAGGGTTCAATTCTGGGTCTGCAAGATCCTCTGGAGAAGGAAATGGCAACTCACGCCAGTATTTTTGCCTGGAGAATCCCATGAACAGAGGAGCCTTGTGGGCTACAGTCCTTGGGATTGCAAGAGTTGGACACGACTTAGCAACTAAACCACCACCACCACCTAGTGTGATATGAATTAGATGTATCCTGAATAACTCAATGAAAGAAAGTCAGTGACTGGAAGTGAAAACAAAGCAAAACAAAACCCCACAATTTCAGCTCTACAAAAAGATTATTTCTTCTAATGTGATGGGATTTACTAGAATGAAGAGCTAACTATCATTAGTGATATCCAGAAGGAGGCTGATTTATCATTTGATAGAAAGTATTCAGATAGAAGGATGGTATCCAACATCCCTTGTGGTCCTGAAAATCTGTAATTTTTTGTTGATATGACAGGCAGTTTTTCCTCACCAACATCAGTTGCCTGATTTGAAAATCTTGAATGGAAAATTTTCTTTGTGGAATTGTTTTGGCTTCTTTAATTTTTCCTGGTGTCTCAGAGGGTAAAGAATCTGCCTGCAGTGCAAGAGCCCCAGGTTCAGTCCCTGGGTAGGGAAGATCCCCTGGAGAAGGGAATAGCTACCCACTCGAGAATTCTTGTCTGGAGAATTCCGTAGGCAAAGGAGCCTGGTGAACTTCAGTCCATGCAGCTGCAAAGAGTCAGACACAACTAAATGACTAACACTTTCATTTTTCGTTTTGACTTCTTTATATAGCCAAGAACACAAGCTCCAGAGAAGGCTGCTTATTTCCAAATCCTAGATCCAATGTGTGAGAAAGTTACTTATGCTGTGTAAGACTTGATTTTCCCACTACCAAAATGAAGTTGATGATAATGTCTAGAACCCAAGATTTTAATGTGTGTTAAATAGAAAAATGCAACTGCTTTGCACAGTTTTGCATAAACAAAAATTAACACCCTAATTAATTAAATCTTTCTCTGTGTGATTGGTTTTTACATTCTAATAGTCTATTAAGACCATCACCAAGTAAAATAAATGCAAAAAGGCAAAATGGTTGTCTGAGGAGACCTCATAAATAGCTGAGAAAGGAAGAGAAGATAAAGGCAAAGAAGAAAAGGAAGGATATACCCATTTGAATGCAGAGTTCTAAAGAATAGCAAGGGGAGATAAGAAAGACTTCCTAAGTGATCAATGCTAAGAAATAGAGGAAAACAATAGAATGGGAGAGACTAGAGATCTCTTCAAGAAAATTAGAGATACCAAAGGAACATTTCATGCAAAGATGGGCTCAGTAAAGGATAGAAAAGGTGTAGGCCTAATAGAAGCAGAAGATACTAAGAAAAGGTGGCAAGAATACACAGAAGAACAATACAAAAAAGATCTTCATGACCCGGAGTAACCACAATGGTGTGATCACTCACCTAGAGCCAGACATCCTGGAGTCTGAAGTCAAGTGGGCCTTAGGAAGCATCACTATGAACAAAGCAAGGGGAGGTGATGGAATTCCAGTTGAGCTACTTCAAATCCTAAAAGATGATGCTGTGAAAGTGTTACACTGAATATGCCAGCAAATGTTGAGAACTCAGCAATGGCCACAGGACTGGAAAAGGTCAGTTTTCATTGCAATTCCAAGGAAAGGGAATGCCAAACTACTGCACAGTTGCACTAATCTTACAGGCTAGCAAACTAATGCTCAAAATTCACAAAGTGAAGCATCAAAAGTATGTGAACCAAGAACTTCCAGATGTTCAAGCTGGTTTTAGAAAAGGCAGAGGAACCAGAGAGCAAATAGCCAACATCCGTGGATCACAGAAAAAGCCAGAGTTCCAGAAAAACATCTACTTCTGCTTTATTGACTATGCCAAAGCCTTTGACTGTGTGGATCACAATAAACTGTGGAAATTTTTTTAAGAGATGGGGATACCAGACCACCTGACCTGCCTCCTGAGAAATCTATATGTAGTTCAAGAACCAACAGTTAGAACCAGACATGGAACAATGGACTGGTTCCAAATTGGGAAAAGAATAAGCCATGGCTGTATATTGTTGCCCTGCTTATTTAACTTATATGCAGAGTACATCATGAGAAACACTGGACTGGATGAAGCACAAGCTGGAATCAAGATTGCTAGGAGAAATATCAATAATCTCAGATATGCAGATGACACCACCCTTATGGCAGAAAGCAAAGAAGAACTAAAGAGCCTCTTGATGAAAGTGAAAGATGAGAGTGAAAAAGTTGGCTTAAAACTCAACATTCAGAAAACTAAGATTATGGCATCTGGTCCCATCACTTCATGGGAAATAGATGAGGAAACAACAGAAACAGTGAAGACTTTACTTTTTGGGGCTCCAAAATCATTGCGGATGGTGATTGCAGCCATGAAATTAAAAGACACTTACTCCTTGGAAAGTAAGTTATGACCAACCTAGACAGCATATTAAAAAGCAGAGACATTACTTTGCCAACAAAGATCCATCTAGTCAAAGCTATGGTTTTCCCAGTGGTCATGTATGAATGTGAGAGTTGGACTATAAAGAAAGCTGAGCACCAAAAAACTGATGCTTTTGAACTGTGGTGTTGGAGAAGACTCTTGAGAGTCCCTTGGACTGCAAGGAGATCAAGCCAGTCAATCCTAAAGAAAATCAGTCATGAGTATTCATTGGAAGGACTGATGCTAAAGCTCAAGTTCCAATAATTTGGCTGCCTGATGTGTTACTGGAAAAGACCCTGATGCTGGGAAAGATTGAAGGCAGGAGAAGGGGACAACAGAGGATGAGGTGGTTGAATGGCATCACCGACTTGATGGACATGAGTTTGAGCAAGCCCCGGGATTTAGTGATGGACAGGGAAGACTGGGTCGCAAAGAGTCAGACACGGCTAAACAACTGAACTGAACTGAGTCTATCTGCAAAACAGCTACCCATTCTTAAAGACATTACTTTTTAGAGCAATGTTTGCTTTACAATAAAACTGAGAAGAAAATACTGAGATTTCCCATAAAGGCCCTATCCCTACACATGCATAACCTCTCCCATTTTCAACATCCTCCACCTAGGGTTGTCCACTTGTTACAACTGATAAACCTACTTTGACTCATTAGTATCACTCAAAGACCATAGCATTCACTCTGAGTGTGGTGCATTTTATGTGTTTGAACAAATGTAATTACATATATCCATCATTATAAAATCATATAGAGTATTTCCACTGCCCTAAAAATCCTTTCTGCTCCACTTATTCATTTCTGTCTCCTCCAAACCCTGGCAGTCATAGGCCTTTTTGCTGTCTTCATACTTTCTCCTTTTCCAGAAGGTCATTTAGTTGGAATCATAGTATGTAACCTTTCTGATTGGACTTATTTTACTTAATAACTTGAATTTAACATAGGCTCTTCTAGGCCTTTTCTTGGCTTGTTAGCACATCAATTTTAGTGCTGAATAATAATCCATTGTCTAGATGTTCCACAGTTTGTTTATCCATTCACCTGCTGAAGGTCATCTTGATTGCTTTCAAGTTTTGGTAATTATGAATAAATCAGCTATAAACAACCACTTTTTCCAATTGTAAGAGCCATGCTATTTCCTCTTTACTCTTACTCCTATTCCCCATTATGGTCATAGAGCAAAGCATAGGACTATAGTTACCTTCTTCATGGTCATTCGTCTACTCCACGTTTTCTTGTCCCTTAGCTCCAAGACAGCAAAAGATCTGCTTAGCTTCTCAGATTCTATAGGAAAAAAAAAAACAAAACAAAAACACTCTTTTCTTTTTAAATTGACAAAGTGAGGTGAAAGCAGCCACAAATGCCAGGTTTTCCTCACTTTATTTCTTTCATTTCAGCGATCTTCACCATTTAGGTCTTCACTGTATTATTGTATCCCTAGTGCTTTTAGGCAGAATTTTTTAAATGTAAAATATGTCCAGATTTTCTCTTTGTCCCCACTAGGAGAATGGGCTTGAATAATCTGGTCTCCTCTGCTAGACATTGAAACTGAGGAATGCATAATTTCTCTTGCAAAATTCAAGTCAGTATTCCCATATCTTAGTATTGAAGTCCTTTGGAAATATCGATTCACAGTTATAACAGCAAAGTTTTACACTTTTGAAGCTGATAATAGTTCACATGTATTTAGTGACTTAATACTTCCCTAGGTACTTTGATATTTAACATCACTTTGATTTTCACAGCAGCACATCTACAGCAGGCCAGATATTAAAGTAATCACTTGTAGATGGAGAATTGCAGACAAAGAGATACTACGTGACTTTCTCAAGGTCACACAGCTTAATAAATTTAGAAGTACTATGATAGAATAAGAAAGAAAGTGAAATTGCCCAGATGTGTCCGACTCTTTGCAACCCCATAGACTGTAGCCCACTAGGCTCCTCCATCCATGGAGTTTTCTAGGCAAGAGTACTGGAGTGGGTTGCCATTTCCTTCTCCAGGGGATCTTCCCAACCCGGGGATCGAACCCTGGTCTACCTCATTGCGGGCAGATGTTTTACTGTCTGAGCCTCCAGGGAGCCCACTATGACAGCATACTCAGTCTTAACTCCCAATGGAATTTCCCCTCTGCTGCTGCCAGTTTATCCATGAACAACAGAAAAGACCAACTGAAAACAAGCATACAAACAAAAAACAGTAAGGAGAACAAGATGGTGGAGGAGTAGGTGGACATGGAGCACATCTCTCTACATGGATACATCAGGAATACAGCTTCAGACACAGAAGTGCATGCAGAACACCAGCTGAGAGTGGACAGGAAAAATACCTGACCAGCAGAAAAAAAAAATATATAGACCCACACAAAACTAGGTAGGATGAAGGAACTAGGGGGAAAATCAGGAGTGTTAGGAGGACTGGACCTGCCCTCATTGAGTAGGGGATCTAAAGCAGGAGTTCGATCCCCACATTGGGGCAACTGTCTGATTCACAGGAGAAACATTTAAGGCTGAGAGTGAAACAGCTGATCTGCAGCAGCCTAAGTGGAATGAGAATCAGACAGTCCTTGCTGCAGCCACACACACCCCAGACAGGAACGCTGTTGGCCCCCTGGAAGGCACAGCAGCTGGGAGTTAAAGTTTAGGGCTTGTGGAGCAATCTCAGGGCGAGCGATGCTGTGGACTGCAGAGAGACGGATGGAGGGATGTGAGGGAGGAGATTGCGGTGGGAAATGCCTGTGGAGGAAAGCCAGGCAGATACAAGGTGATACTGCTGTCACACCTAGACGATGGAGCCATCACCACAGCCTCTCTCTCCCCACACACCAGCATCACCAGCTGAACAATAGAGAGGCTGGCCCATCAAATGCCTGACAGCACTGAACCACAGAGTAGGACCCCACCCAGGGAGCCCATTTAAGTGCCGAACAACAGAGAAGGACCCCAGGCAAAGAAGCCCTCTAAGTGCCTGAATGGGCAGAGCTACAGAGAAAGACTGGCCAAAGAGGCCTTCTGATCACCAGCTACAAGAGGCTTGAAAAAAGACACTGATAGGGCCATTATTCCTGCAGCAGAAGCAGTCTGTGTTCCTGCACAATTGGCACCGCCAGGGTCCCTGCAAGCCAAGCAGCTGCACCACCTTCACGCTCAACTCTCACTGGGGCAGAGCTGCCACAGGCAAAAAAGCCTTAAACCTGTGCATGCAGGGTTGCTTTGGTCGTGTCCAACTCTTTGCAACCCTGTAGACCGTGGCCTGCCAGGCTTCTCTGTCAGGGAGCGGGGTTCTCCAGGCAAGAATACTGGAATGTATGGGCCAGCACTGGTTGTCTTACCCTTCTAGCGCGCTGTATTTCCTGCTGCCCTAGCCGCCAACTCCCCTGAATGCCTAGTGCTGCCAGACCCCTGCAACCCAAGCAGATGCACCACCTCCACACCTGGCCCTCACAGGGGCAAATCCAAGTCCTCCAGGGCAGCCTCAGGAGAGGCTCTATTTAATTCTACCTCTATTTAACTTTGCATATCTATTCTTTCTTTTTTCTTTCTTTCTTTCTTTCTTTCCTTTCTTCTCAACATATTTCTTAGTTTTGTTTTCATTGCTTTATTCCCCACTTGGCACCTTGCTTTAGTTTTGTTTTCCAGTTTGTGCTTTAGTTCATTTTGTTCTTAACTGGTAAATAAAATTTTTTATTTCCTTTGTTTGCCAGGTTAATCAATTTTACCTTACTTTTTTTGGACTGGTTTGACTTTGCTCCTGGGTGTATATGTGTATATTCAAAACAAAAAATAATGAAAAGGCAGAGAAATACTACCCAAATGAAGGAACAAACTAGAAACACGGAAGTCCAAATAAATAAAGAGAAAATAGGCAAACTACCTGAAAAAGAATTCAGAATAATGATGGTAAAGATTATCAAAATCTTGAAAACGAAATGCAAGAATCAATTAACAAAGACGTAGAAGAATTAAAGAATAAACATACAGAGACAAACAACACAATTAATGAAATTCAAAATACTCTAGAAGGAATAAATAGCAGAATATCTGAGGTAGAAGAATGAATCAGTGAGGTGGAAGATAAAATGATGGAAATAGCTTCTGAAAAGCAGAGTAAAGTAAAAAGAATGAAAAGAACTAAGGATAGTCTCAGAGACCTCTGGGACAATATCAAATGCACCAACATTTGAACTATAGGGGTCCCAGAAGAAAAAGAGAAAGAGAAAGGCTATGAGAAAATTTTCAAAGAGATTATAGTTGAAATTTTCCCCAACATGGAAAAGGAAATAGTCAATCAAGTCCAAGAGGCACAAACTGTCCCATACAGGATAAATCCAAGGAGAAATACACCAAGACACATACTAACCAAACTAACAAAGGCTAAACACAAAGAAAGAATATTAGAAGCAGCAAGGGAAGAAGGAACAAGTAACATACAAGGGAAACTCCATACATTTAACAGCTGATCTTTCAGCAGAAAATTTGCAGGCCAGAAGGGAATGGCAAGATATAGTTAAAGTACTGAAAGGGAAAAATCTACAACCAAGATTACTGTACCTGGCAAGGATCTCATTCAAAATTTATGGAGAAATAAAAATCTTCTCAGACAAGCAAAGTTAAGAGAATCCAGCACCATCAAACAAGCTTTACAACAAATGTTAAATGGACTTACAGTCAAGAAATACAAGAGAAGAAAAAAAATCTACAAAATCAACCCCAAATAATTAAGAAAATGGCAATAGGAACATATATATCAATAATTACTTTAAATGAAAATGGATTAAATGCTCCAACCAAAAGACACAGGCTGGCTGAGTGGATACAAAACAAAACCAATATATATGCTGTCTACAAGAAACCCACCTCAGACCTAAAGACACATATAGACTGAAAACGAGAGGATAGAAAAATATATTCCATGCAAATGGGAAGCAAAATAAAGCTGGAGTAGCAATCCTCATATCAGACGAAATAGACCTTAAAATAAGGATTACAAGAGATAAGGAAGGACACTATTAATGATCAATCAATCAATCCAAGAGGAAGACATAACAATTGTAAATATCTATGCACCCAATATAGGAGAACCTCAATACATAAGACAAACACTAACAGACATAAAAAGATAAATTGACAGTAGCACAATAATAGGAGACTTTAACACCCCACTCACACCAACGGACAGATCATCAAAACAGGAAATCAATAAGGAAACCCAAGGCTTAAATGATACATTAGAGGAGATGGATCTCATTGATATCTTCAGGACAGTCTATCCAAGTGCAGAAGAATAAACCTTCTTCTCAAGTGCACATAGAACATTCTCCAGGATAAACCACATCTTGGGTCACAAATCAAACCTCAATAAGTTTAAGAAACTTGAAATCATATCAAGCATCTTCTCTGACCACAACGCTATGAGGCTAGATATCAATTACAAGAAAAAAAACCTGTAAAAAACACAAACACATGGAGGTTAAACAGCACACTTCTAAGTAACCAACACATTATTGACAAAAGCAAAGGAGAAATCAAAAAATTTCTAGGAACAAGTGATACTGAAAACATTTCAAAACCTATTGGTTGCAGCAAAAGCAGTCCTAAGAGTGAAGTTTATAACAATATAGTCCTTCCTCAAGAAACAAGAAAAACATTGAATAGACAACCTAACTTCACACCTAAAACAACTGGACAATGAAGAACAAAAAAACCCCAACATTAGTAAAAGGAAAGAAGTCATAAAGATCCGAGCAGAAATAAGTGAAAAAGAAATGAAAGAAACAAGAGGAAAGATTAGTAAAACTAAAAACTAATTCTTTGAGAAGATAAACAAAATTGACAAACCTTTAGCCAGACTTATCAAGAAAAAAAGAGAGAAGAATCAATCAACAAAATAAAAAATGTAAAAGGAGAGGTTACAGCAGACAATGCAGAAATACAAAGGATTGAAAGAGACTGCTATGGCAATAAAATGGATAACCAGGAAGAAATGGACAGATTCTTAGAGAAGTTCAATCTTCCAAGACTGAACTAGAGAGAAATAGAAAATATGAACAACCCAACTACAAGCACTGAAATTGAAGCTGTGATCAAAAATCTCCCAAAAAACAAAAGCCCAGGTCCAAGTGGCTTCACAGGAGAATTCTATCGAACTTTTAGAGAAGACCTAATGCCTATCCTTCTAAAACTCTTTCAAAACAGTGTAGAGGAAGAAACACTTCCAAACTCATTCTACGAGGCTGCCATCACCCTAATACCAAGACCAAACAAACACAACACAAAAAAAGAAAA